CGGCTTAAATGGGTAATGAAGAAAAACTTTAATATAAGTTTAACATGACAGCAAATGTACAACGTTTGCTGTCATGTTAAACTTATATTAAAGTTTTTCTTCATTACCCATTTAAGCCGTCTCCAGCCATTATTAGTCTCAAAGTGGGTTCCTCGTCATCGAACTATAGAAGAGTGGTTCCCAATAAATATTGAAAGCTGGTGACTCATTGGTTAAAATGGTTAAAAACCTTTATTGATATATAGAGGAGTGGTTCCCAATAAATATTGAAAGCTGGTGACTCATTGGTTAAAATGGTTAAAAACCTTTATTGATGTATAGAGGAGTGGTTGCTTTCAACATACTCTATCATTTAATTGATTCAACATCATTTTTATCGGCTTAATGTTTATTTAGAATTAAAATTAATTCAGCATTTTTCTTTTCGGCCCATTTTTTTTGGTGACCCCCTCTAGAAAAAGCTTCATGGCCCCCAGTTTGGGAAACACTGGTATTACATTACACATAGCAAGTTGCGGAGGAACATTTAATGCGACCGAAAAAATTTAGATTTTTATTTGAGAAAAAGAATTTCTAACTAAAATTAGTTGTAGGAATCCATTCCGCTAAGTTCATAATACATTTAACTAATGTTGTTTGGTGTTTAGAATAGAGTAGCTTGCTTATGAAATAGTTTATATATGAAATAACAAGGCTTGCTTTTATTTCATTGTTGTAATTTAGGTACAGGTACTTTTGGAAGGGTATGTCTGTGTCGAGATAAGCTTACTGGTGCTTACTACGCTATGAAAATTTTAGAAATAGCTGACGTCATCCGATTAAAGCAGGTGGAACACGTGAAGAATGAGAAGTCCATTCTTAAACAAGTTATTCATCCATTCATCATAGATATGTAAGTCGGACTGAAAAAATTCTTGTTAACTAAGTTATACATCTTTTTACTATTGCTTCTGCCTACGTTATACTGTCAACCGTAGCTTTTATCAATCATGCACATCAACGTATAGGTTATAATTAGCAAAGTTTACAGAGCTAACTTGTTGTTCAGTATTTTAAAAAAATTAAATTATTTGTCAGCTTCTGCTGTTAAAAATAAGAATTAAGTTCTGTTCGCACAGTAAAAATGTATATGATGGTAGGCAACATATCGATAGCTATTTTACGCCCCCCCCTCCAGTGGCACAGCGGTATGTCTGCGGACTTACAACGCTAGAAACCGGGTTTCGATACCCGTGGTGGGCAGAGCACAGATAGCCCATTGTGTAGCTTTGTGCTTAACTTCAAAACAAACAAATTTATTTTACGTAATTAAACATATAATTTTCGAACCATTACACAGGCTTGCGATGGTTTTATTGTCTTGAAATTTTTACATGTTCTACAGTAATTCCAGTACGCTGAATCCGAAAATGATATCCATTTTTCTTCATCACGTACAGATTTTTTACAAAACTTCATATGTACTTTTACATAAGTGAATCATTTTCATTGAATTCTTGTCACATTTTGTTATGCTTAAAATGTTGACAACCATTGGCTATAGATTTCTCTAGACCAATCGTGATGTATGAGTCTTACCAATTGTTCTAGAGCTCACGAGAAACACACCGCTTGTATATAAACGGCTAACAGGCCGCATGACGTGTCATTTCTGGATAGCATTTGTTTATGCGTGCACTTTGACATTACTTTTTTTCTTTTCAATATTGTTTATTCGTCGCTATAGCAACAAGAGGTTGTGTAAATGACCCAAACATACTCTGTTATATTCGTGATAAATTTGTTGTAAAGAAACAAAGGCAAAACATTACAGAATTCGTAAAAAATAAAACTAAGAATACTAAGACAAATCATGCGCTCCGCAGAAAGTTTGCACCGTTTGTGTCGGAGAGTTGAGACAATGGATTAAAGATAAGAAATAGTATTTGCCTTTTGGAATTCTAATGGTCCGGCGTGAGCCTAGAAACCACGAAAGTGACTGCTATTTTTGCAAGGCTACAACACTCGAAATAAAAAGGAAATTTCTTATCCAAACCTTCAATCTGCTATAAGACCTATTGTGTCCACCGGAGACTCTTGATACAGTTTCATCTGATTCTGAGTCTAATATCGATAGAAATAATGATAGGGATTGTTTTTAACCTAAAACGTCTGGTGAACCACAACTTTTCACACAAGATAAACTTAATGATTTGGTGAGAGATTTGGGCCTTCCTAAGGATTTTTCAGAGATTTTGAAATCTAGGCTTCGGGCTAAGAACTTAATTTCTCCAGAGATATCAACTGGTACAGAAATCGCGAGAAAGAGTTTATACCATACTTTTTG